TAGAACCTTGACTGTTTGGGGATGAGCTGAGGTGCCAGCTGAGGTTGGCCAGGGTAAACCAGAAGCAGACCTACTTCTAATAGTCTCTTCAGCTCCCTGGGCAGAGGGAAGTGCCTTCTCCACTCGTGTGAGCGCCTGCCCATCCCTTTGTTCCTGACACAGAGTAGGTGCTCCATACATGATGGCCATCATGCTTATCACTTGCCTGGCCCCGATGTCTCTCCTACTTCGTGGTTGTTTTTCTTTCTCACCCACTAGGAGTGACCTCCTGGAGGGGGCAGAGGTCTGGCACAGAGAAGGTGTCTGCAGGCTTGTGAAATGTACGATGAGTATTTGGGCAAAATCGGGCCAGTGGGAAGTGATGAGGCTCCACCATCCGGACTCACTCACAAGGATGCCTTATACCTTCCTAAGTGCACCCTGCCTTCCTAGCTGTGCCCTGCTCTCTAAGTGTACCCTGCCTTCCTGGGGTCCCTGGATGGGATTTCTTGATATGCCAGGTCACATTTCTGAGCTCTGAGCTCCTTCTCCCCAGTCTGGTCTCCAGCTCCCTCACCAGGATGCACTGAATGAGGGGTGCCATCACCCTGATTAGGAAGTTATGTCCCTCCTTGGGAGATGGTGGACACTATGGAGAAACACATCAGTTTCTGGAAATGCCTAATTGCCACAGCAAGGCTTCCTCAGCTTGCAGCCCCACCCTGCTCCCATCCAGGTAGCCATCCAGAGACACGAGTCAGTCCCCCAAAGGGCTCAGGTACCTCCAGGGGAAGTGAGAGGGCCCCTCATCAGAAATCCACCTCTGTTTCATGACCTCCATCCTCAGATCCCCTGGGACGGTGACTCAGCCTTCATACCCCAGAGCACAGAACTCCTCCAGCCTTGTTTTGCTGAGAGGCAATGGGAGGGAACTGCAGGCAATTTGACATCTCAAATCAAAAGACGACAGCTGTTAGGTTATTACCTCTAAAGCATCAGGTCACAGGCACCCCTCCAAAGTGCTGCCAGGCGAGCAGCAGAGACAGCCTTGTCTGTGTTCACAAGTTCCGAGGCTCCTCCCTCCCCCAGTTACCAGAGCTGCCTCTCAGCCCCACACGGTCACCATTGGCCCCCTGCATTCCGTGGGAATAAATGAACTTTTCTTGATGAAACTAGGTGACTGTAAGAGCATCCTTTCTGTACTGTTTAATTTGGCTGCAGGAAAGACACAGCCTATTGAAATTCCAGGAGTATTAAAATCTCCAGCCGCCTTTCCAAAGCATGTGCATCAATTTATAAAAATCTACTGATTTAAAAGACCTGCTATCAACACTGGTCAAACTACCCATCTCACCTCCTTTTCTGATTCTGGAAGTGGCTGCTAAAGCTCCTCAAGAACTCTGTTAAAAACCATATTGGGGCCTCCCCTGGTGGCGCAGGCGGTTGAGCGCCGCACTGTAAAGCTGTCCACAGCCTCTGCAGCGCAGGTTTGGTCCCAGTTGGCAAGAATCCCACATGGTGTGGCAGACCTCTCCTGTCTTGCCTGCTGCTCCCCTCAGCAGTGTATTTCCTCAGTCTGCCTGTTCTGCTCCCCACTCTGTCTCTGGTGAATCCTCTCACCCTCCTGTGCATCTGGCCTATGCCCCGGATCTTGTATGCATGAATAAATAAACCTTAAAAAAAAAAACACACACTTGAGATGATCTTCTGAGGCTCAAGACAAAGGATGGGTCCCACAGAAGGATGGGGGAGCTTCAGGAGTTAGAGTGATTTTATCAGTCAATGCGTGTTGGTTGTGCCCAGCTGTTCCACAAATAAGAGAGTATAGGAGTCCTAGGGACCTCTTCAACTCAGTTGCAAGCAACGAGACAATGCTGGCTCATCTTAGTGACCACTCACCAGACCAGGTCCCATGTTGGCCCCTGAGTTTCAGATTCGGCTCAATTATGACTGAGTAGCCACGACTTCCTGAGGAGCTGTTGCTGGAAAGTATGGCTTCTCCCCAAACCCCTGTATGGTTGCTGGAAAGTATGGCTTCTCCTCTGCACCCCAAAGATTCTTCCCCTGGCTTCCATGGGCCTTGCACATCCCTCCTCCAAGGCAGCACACCTGGATAGGTAGCTGGCCCCACCCTCTGGCCTGAGAGTGCTGCCTTAGGGTGGAAGGGTGGAGTTCACATCTCCAAGAAGACCCAGTGCTGGCACACCACCAGGAAGATGGAGTGGACTCGATAATTTAATAGTATCCTGAATCAACCAAGTGGTAGATAAAAGACCAAGGAAGACAAAGGAAGGATTGGAGGCAGGAAAGGCAAATAGCCTTTGAGCCAGGATGCATGAGCTGGGAAAATAAAGTAGCATTGGGTGGACCTGTAGTGAGAGAAGAGAGCCCAATGCCATGTTCCTCCAAGTGGCTCCAACACATGGGCACATAGTAGGTGCTCAATGAGTCACCGCATGAACACTTCCTGTTCTTAGGACCTTTACAGGGATTGTCTCACACAGTCCTCATGCTAAACCTTACGGGAGCTAATATTATTTTTAGCAAAGTGAATAATGGACTAGTGGCAGATACTAAATTTCCTCCCACTTCAAGGCAGGAGAGACATGATTTAGCCCTATCACAATCATCATTCTACATTCTTCCTAGAATGAAAGCAGTTTTGCACATGGATTCTGGGGTCAGACTGCATTCAAGTCTTGATGCCCCCAGCAGTAGAAAGCAGGGAAATTGACTTACCCCCTACCTCAAGCACAGGGCTAGTACAAAGGCTACCCTGGGCAATGGCTGGGTCAGGGTACCAGCATACAGTCGGGCACACCGCACACCCCACATTTAAGCAGCAGCCTTAAATGTGCAACCCCCCAAGTGTGTGCCTTGTATCCCTGTCTAGAAAGGGGTTGGTGCCATTCTCCCCCATTTGCAGGCACGACCTTCTGTCTTCATGGGCTAAAGCAGAGGACTGCAGGACATGGAGAGCAGTGGCTTGGTGGGCCTCAGGGTCAAAGTCATCATTTTACTGATGACAATCAGAAGGGTGGGGGAGGGGTGAAGAAGAAGGAAACCCGGCATTTATTAATCTACATTAAATGCAGCTAAAAGGTGGAACAAAGAATCTCATCAGAAGGTTAGTGACCAAGTCTAGGCTCCAAAGTCCCACGTTCTTAGGTGGGGTCAGCTGAGCACACAGTCTGGAACTACTTTGAAGACAGGCATTTCTAGCAGCTTAGAGTAAATTTCTCACAGGCCCTGACAAGATGAAATGGCCGGCAGTATAGAGCAGCCTTCTCACTCACATGACGGAACACGCCTCACTGCCCTGGGCCTAGCAACCATCCGCAAGGTGCCAGCACCCCCACAGGGGCCAGCTCTGCATGCAGGGGTCTGGAGAGCAAGCCCCAGTGACCAGGCTGGGGGGACCTTGGTCCCCAGCCTCTGGACAGACCAAGGTCACATGTTACCCTCTAAGCAGTGGCCAGGGGCTCTTCCTTGGAGAACACCTGGCTCAGGGCTGCCAATATGGCGGGCTGTGTGTGAGGTGGTGGGAGCGGACTGTCTTGGTGGCCTGCCTGCTTTGGCTTGGGCATATCGGGGCTGTGTGGAAAAAGACTTTTCTCGCTATACTAGGAAGGGGATGTGGTTGTCCTTTGCTTAATCCTTTCTGAGGCTCCTCATCACTGCAAATTCCCTGACCCAGCAGTCCAACCAGTCAGCTGTTCCAAGACTTGGCTCCCAACTAACTTTTCTCTCTCTTCCTGGCCTCCCACTTCTTATCCCAGAATCATCAAACTGCTTGGAGTCCTATCCCATAACCCTGGCTCTTTTCCCTCTTCCAATGGAAGTGTCCTCCCTGACCCCTGCTTCTAGTCTACTTACATTTATTTTTTCACACACAATCCAGGCATTATCACCTCCATGAAACCTCCTTAATGGATTCTTCTGCTTTGTGTGCCCATAGAAATTCCCTTTGGAAACGTCTATCATGGTATTTACCACTTTGAATATAATTTCCTCTCTTTGTAAGAATCAGTTTTATTGCTGGCAGATACCATGACTTTTGTCTTTGAATCTTCAGTTCCTGGCACACTGCAATGTGTATAGGGCTTGGAAACCTTTGCCCAAGTCATTCTTAATTCACACAAAAGAAAGTCCAGCCAAAACTTTTCAGCACATGCAGGATTGATTGTACACCAAGGATCATGAAGACAAAACAAAATCCACAAACCAGCACTTAAGGATAAAGTAACAGCACGAATGTTATGATGGGGTGGGGGTCCTGGAGAAGGAACAATGAAGGAACTCAGCTACTCAGAGCAAAGGAATGTGGCCACTGCTTTCTCGTTGGTTCTAGAGGACAAAGCTTGCTTTATGAAGGAGACCACGTCCTCTACTGCACCATGAGTGCAGCTCCACGCTAAAAGCAAGTGTGATATATGCTACCTGTTAGCATATATGGGGGTTGTAAGTTCTCCATAGGCAGAGTTTTGCCTAAAGCACTTACTTTTTAAAATAAAAATGAACTTCATATCCAAACTAGAAGAATTGGTTATGTGTTGCACAGAGAACCTCTATGAAGCTGTAGGAATAGCTAGTTATCTGTGTTAAAGCTTTGGCTTCAATTTCTCCAGGGGACTCTGTCTCAGGAGGCACAGTGATTCTCCCAGGGTGACTGGTCCTTCGGTGGAGACACGGAATTCGTGAACTCAACACAAGCATATTAGAAACTGGATCATTGGGAGGGAAATAGTGCCAAAGCAGATGGCTCTTGCTAGCCTTTCAATAATTAATTTCAAGAATCATATAAATGTACAGAGATAGCTCAACCCTGACAAAGTCTAGACTTGATGCTTGGCTAATTGAACCATCCTCCACCTCTGCCGAACACACCCATCCATACCCTGCAGTTTAATATGTACATATTGTGCTAATCACATCATTTCAACTCCTTTGTTGAAGATACACAGAACTTCTAAATAACCTTTAAAACTCACCAGGGGATAAAATCATCCCATTGGGCTTACCCTGAGGTAGTTGAGGGTGAAATTTGTCAGCCCCATCCTGGTGATGTTTTTCGACAGCTGGTCCAGGACCTGAGGATCTTGTGCCTAAACCAAAAAAAAAAAAAAAAAAAAATCACGTATTTTACTGCTGCAAGATGGTTCCAAGAAAATCTGAGACTGTGCTTCAGCTGCTAGGAAAGGCAATTTTGACATTGTCGATTTTTCTTGGAGACGCAGATTGCTGGAGATAATTTAATTTACATTTTGAGGAGATGTGCATGTAACGCTCAAGGACATTTTGGGATCAATTGCACAAGACCTGTTGCCGGGGAAAACCAAACTGACTCAGTGTTTGCAGACTTTCCTTTCTCCATGAGGTCCTGTGTCTTCAGGAGGGTCATCAGCCCCTGCCAGGTCGCCTCCAGGTCCTTCGCGCTCACCAGGTAATGGGGGGACCCTGGATTAGGCAGAGCCCTGCTTTAGGGCTGGCCTTTGTTTCCATTGTGATAGTGTTTAACAGCTTGCAGTTGGGGACTGTTTGAAAACTTTGCAACTGCCACATAATATATATACGTCTAAGAATTCTAACTCTCCTCCCCATGCATGAAGCTGAGGCTAGAAACAGATGTCCTCAACAATTTCCATCCCACAGGACTGTAAGGGTGAGCATCATGTTTTCCAGAATATCAGCCACAATTACAAGAGGGATGCAATGTTCCCCGGGCCACCCCAAATGTTCTGGAACGAAAATGCTGCATTCCATTTGAAGATGAGTCTCTTGGTTGTGGCGCCTTCTGTCTGTCTTTCCTTTCTTCTTAGTTGGTTTAAGTACATGGGAGCTAAAGAGAGGGGGCACTTAAGTCAATAGCCCCTTGTCTCTATGTCTGCATTCCTGAGACTACCTCGGATCTACAGCACTTGAACTTATTCTTTTCTGTACTTAATTCTCCTTGTGGAATACGATCACCCGTCTTTGGTTATATAAATAATAAGTAAAATGTTGAAGACAACAGAGCCTGTCACTTTTCACACCAATTTCTGGCAGGGGGTCCTTTTTCGACTTACAGCCAGTATTCCGTGAACCCTCCCACGCACCAGGAAGAGCTTGTTCCATTCAGAGGCATCAGGTGGTCTTGGCTGATGTCCTTACTTTGCAGTCACAAGACAGGATAATAATAAATGAATAAAGGGCGCCATTGCTGCCTGTGCTGCTGCTGCTGATGACAACGATAGTCGCCAATACTTGCAAAAGGACATACTATGTGCCAGGTACTGCTTAAGTGTTTCATGTGTATTAACACTTAATCTTTATACCAGTTCTCTGAGGCAGAGTTTATTATTGTGGCTACTTTGTAGAAGGGTTATTGGAAACACAGAGATGTTATGTCTCTTGGCCAAGGTCACACAGGAACAGGGATATAAAACAATGTGGACTCATTCCAGTGCCCAATTTCCTGACCACCACTCTCTGCTGCCTCCCAGTCTATGTTGAGAATAACAGTGGTTACTCCAGGCAGCTTCAAGGAGAGCTGACGATATGAATTGAACTTGAAAATGGAGAGGGACTCGATTTTTGAGTCAAAGGACTCAAAAGTTAGACAGGCAGATATAACTGAGCCCTGGCTGAAGGCACAAGGTCAATGCCGGGGACAGAGTTGGGTCAACCAGTCGGGGTGGGGGGAGAGGGTTGAGGACAAAATCCCAGGAGAGAGTCTAGAGCTGGGCAGCACGGTTGGCTTGGCAGCATGGGTTTTGGAGTCAGAACCAGCCAAATTAAAATTTTGCCTCTTTTGGGCTGAAAACTTTGGGCAGCCCTCTGAACTTCTCTTAGCTTTGGTTACCTCATTTCTAAAACAGGAAAAATCATAACTCACCTCTCTGAGTTCCTGGGAGGATTACATATAATAAATATGTCCAAAGTACTTTGCATAAGGCCTGGAATAAAAGTGGCAATGCTAACTACTATTACTTTATTCTCTTTTGATAGTATGGGGGTCTTAAAAATAAGGTTCATTAAATCCAGATGCTACTCATTTATCACAAGGCTGCTGCACTGAGCTTTATCCAAGAAGGGCTAGTTAACTATGCTTTCTGACTCCTCCTTAAGGGGTTGAACCTAGTTCCATCAAGTCTCACCATTAAAACATCTCTAGATTGGCACTGAACCCACCTTGCAGCTATATGAAAGAGAACCCCAAATATGCCAATTCACTCCCATAGCACACTTAGGGAGAGCCTGATCCGGCTGAGCAGATCAGAGGTACAGCAGCCCTCCACCCCTCTCCGACGGTTCTGGTCAAAAGGGGATACTTATTTCTTGCTTCTTGTTTTATTTCTTTCCACAGTTATACAAAACAGGTTTATTAATCTAGGTGGAGTAGTGCTTGATAATGACTGAATGGAATTTAAGAAAAGTACAATCTGTTTATTGAGGTAACCTCAATTTAGAGTTTAAAATAATAAAACACCAAAAAAAAAAAAAAAAAGCCTCACAGTGCACCAACTTCAGAAATAAAGAAGGGGAAAAAAGGCCATAAATTAAAATGGTGCACGGAAAATGCTCAAAATTTAGAATTAATTACCTAAAGCATGGAGATGACTAGCATTCCTTCACAAAGAGAGCACTAGGCTTTGCTCCTTGTGGAAAATGAGGGGCAAGAAGGAAAGAGAAACAGAAATTAGATTACTTACGTGCATGGCTAGAATGCTTCTCGGGACTAGCTCTCTGTATTGTCTAATGGTAAAGTGCCATGTTTTTATTCTCATGAGATCATCAAAGGTGAACTCCAAGATGAGTCTGCCTTCTGTACACACCTGCAAAGGAGCGACAACATAGTCACTGACTATGGCCTTGACTTTGTGAACACTGAATTTGGTAACTCACACCCCATCACAGTCTTCCTGACTAGCCCTGGGTGGTGCTGGACCTTGACAACGATGCGACCTAAGGGACTTATCCCTTAGGGAAGCAAGGTAAGTTCTAGAATCAGTGGGTTCAAAAGACAGCGCAGCTGCTTAATAGCTATGAACTAGTAGTAACTCTACTAGTTACTAATGAAACGTATGAGCTCCTGTTTCTTCATTTGTCAACATGGGTTACAAAACAGTTCCCAACACATGTGTACCCCAAAAGAAATGGTATCTCTCCCCCTTTGCTTCTACTTTCATCACCCTTCCACTGTAGAAGTTTGTACCCTTGTTCGAATCTTAATTATTGTACTCTGGGAGAAATCCCCTAATAAAGTCATTCATGGTAAGTGTGCTCCTACTAAGCTACCCAATCAATGAAAGTTTTTGTTTTCAAAGAGAAATTCCAAAGGGTGAGGCTTAATCAAGACTTGTCTTGCATGGTTGGTGACATGTGGGAAAACAGAAGGTCACTTGGAGTAGATTTCTCGAGTCACTTTGCATCAGTAACAACAAATTCTGCCGGCATTAGGGACCCTACTTGGTTTGGGGGTGGGAGGGGGCAAGTTCATCTTTCTTTTTATTTTCAAAGACCTTAATTGGATTAAAAATACTATATTTTGCCCACGCAAGTTTATCTTCCTGAAAAAAAATTATCAATGCAACAAAGCAGAATTTACGAGCTCTCTTCTTTGACAGAGTGCACAGCAGCAGGACAGTATTTGTATCTTCCTATGCTATTCAGATTTTTAGCACCCAGTTCCTATTCTATTTACCTGTCTTTTCTGTTAAAGACTTTGAAATGGAAGAAAATGCTAGACAATCACACACACACCACTGAGGCTATCTTAGCTATAATGTAAAGATGTTGTAGTAGAATACAGGTCCAGTATAAAAAATTATAACTCATTACTCATTAATCACTGCCTTAGAGAAGAAAAATGTAGTGGATGGAGGTTTTGGCCTCAGATGGGACTGGATTTGAATTCTGACTCACATTTTACTAATTTTGGAATATTGGGGAAATCAGATAAATTCCCTTAGTCCCAGTTTCTTCCTCTACAAAATGAGGGTAATAAATGATACCCTTAGGTAAGATTGTCGGGAAGATATTAAAGGGGATTGATTGTGTGTGTAGACTGCTTAGCATTGTCCCTGGAACATTGTAGGATGACAGCACATGACGGCACTAAAAGAATAAAAGAGAAGAGAGAAAATAAATGTGACAGAAGAATACAGAATCCTGGACATGTGCTCTCTGAGATATAGGGGTTCATGAAGGCATCTGAGGGACTCTGATGGGAGGAGCCTGGCCTCCATCTAGATGCTGAGATCACCCATCCATTTTTCTAGATTTAACCAGAGCAGTTTCAACTAAAACTTTTTAAATAATTGAGCTTCTGATCAAACCTCCTTGGAGAAAGATTTCCTAAGCTAAAAACAAACATTAAACTGGAAATCATTGCACAACACATTTTTAAAAAGCCACAAATAACAACTAACTAAATAGGGAATATGCTCCATCCTAAAACTATAGTCTATGAAGATGATTAGCAATTTATATTAGTCTTTTATATGAAATATTAAAACCATTTCCCTTCTTTGGGAATTTCATACAAAACGTCTCCATTTATTGAGCTCCAACTATGTCTGAGGCACTGGGTTCCTATTTATTGACTTTAAGGTAATGTTTTCTTTAAATAAACCAAATACCAGATTAGGAGAATGAGTCAAAGTGTTGATAGGGCACTGCTTAAGAAAGATGCTCTTAATGTCTGCCATCTTTGTTTTATTAAAGTCTCAGAAGCACTGTACGATAATTATTGATAACCTGGGTGAAGACCTTTCACTCAGATCCAATTATCAGAATCTGTGGGTAGTTTCAGGCATGTGGGCACCATGCCCCAAATCTCCTCAGTTAGCCAGTCTTCAGAGTCTCATTTCTGGCATCTTCGCCATAGAGTGGAGACAGAGAAATGGGGGAAGACATTGGTGTCTCCAAACCACCCCTCCAGAGCATTGCTAGCATTGAAACTCATTTACTGCACTTTTCAAAAACAGTGGCACGCAACTCCACCTGTGGTGTTAGCAAGAAGAAGGCACCTGCAGTGAAAGCTTTCACCGAGGGAGGTAACTACCGCCAGCCAGGGACAGTGAAGAGTCAACAATACAGGGCAGGGCTGTGTGGATGCTGCCTTTTTTTTTTTTTTTTTAAAGAGGGGATTATTGAATGTTTAAACAAATATTAGACTAGTTAAATGTCATGCTTTTTTATTATCTTATCTATTTGTTTTGTTTATGAACCACACACTCAGGGCGGATGGAGGTTCTGGTTTACTTCTACAGAATAGAAATTCATCAGGGGAAGGCACGGATGTGGTCCTTCAGAAGAATTACTCAGTTGGAGCATCTGTAAGGTCAAGTGAAGTGTGTTCTTTGTTTACTGTGACATAGCAAATCAGCGGAGCACTCTTCTTGCAGTTAAAAGTAACCCAACATGCACCCCAAGGCACAACTCTTTTAGCCTCTGTTGTGGACCTCAAAGGGGAACACTGCAACTTGTCTTGGGTTTCTCCTTTCTCAGTTAGAACCAAGGGATTAGTTTTTTCAGGGTGTATCATTGCAAGGGAGGAATCCTTAGAATTGAGCCTGAGTTAACCAGGTAGGTGTTTTCTTTAAGGACCTTTAAATGACTTCCTGGAAGGAAGGGATGGAAGAGAATATGGCCACTGCTGGTCTTCCCCAAGTAATAATACCACAGGCTCCCTCCAAGCCCCATGCACCCCTCTATGCCCCGCCCCCATCACGAAAGTTAAAGGAAACTTAAGGCTTTGTGATTTATTTTATATGCAATAATTAGCAGAAGCAATAGAGGCACTGAAATACATATATATATATTATATACACATATATAGTATATAGAATACCTGCACACATACAAACACATACATTCCTTATTTGGAAATGGTAAAAACAAACATAGCTTATGAAGGAAAATTAATGTCTTTTTTCTTTTCCACAAAATTCTGTTCATTTCTCGTAATCAATACAATTAATGTAGCATTTATCTAAAGTTGGCCTTTCTTTAAAAAAAAAAAAAAAACTGCCTTTCACTTGGAATCCAAAATCAAAAGGGTCCCCAATTAAGAAAACATTTTCTGTTGTGCTGAATTCATGTTACCGTACTGTGAGCTCTGACATTTTGTTTCTGTGGTAACCAAAATCAGCTGATTAGTTGGCATGGCAACAGAAAAGATGTAATCCCAGCAGACACACTCTAATCAATGCCCCCAGCACAGATGGTCTCCGGAGGATCAACAAGAAAGAGGCTGGCAGGCATTCAGCGGATCACGTGCTGGCTTGAGACTAGGCCAGCAACAAGAGAACTAAAAAAGAACATTTCTCAAACTCACCGGTAGCTTTTTAACCCTTTTCTTTCTTTGACTAATTGCAAAGCAGTGTCGACCATGTAGTTGTATAAGGCATAATGATTCTCAAGTGACTTTTATGAAATAAAATGTGCCTTTTAGGTGACAGCGCTTATTTCATTTTCTTGGTTTTTATGCTTAGGATTGGCTGGATGGAATCCTGTTTTCTAACAAACAGTTGCTTAAAGCTCATTGTATTTTGTGTGCTACATATTTAAATGTGTGCATATGTATGTGTGAGCACACACATATCTATTAGGACAGAAGAATCACAGATACTATAGTAATTTGGGTGGGCTCAAGATAAGGGGGTAAGTGTGTAGATACTGGAGTATAATGTTGAATACAGAAGGGGGGACTGAAAAACTGGTCAGACATGGAGTGTCCACATAAGAAAACTCTTGGAGCATTTCTGTGGTTGTTTTCTTGATTCTAATAATTTCTTCATAAATACTTGAGGCCAAGAAAAAAGAAACCTGTGTTTACAAGAGTGACAAGGCTGTCCAGTAATGGCTGTAATTATTGCCCTAGTTTGCAAAATCGAAAAGTAACCCACGTGTACTCCACAAAGGACCCGTCTCAGCATCTGCCAGATTCACACCCTCAAATGTAATTTGAGGGTCTTTGATTCTGAAAACCTGGGTGATTGCTCTTCTGATTATTAAGCCTTGTTTTCAATTTGATTCAAAATTAAATACAGAAAAGAAAGGCTGCATAATGTGTGTTTTAAAACTCTAATTACATATTTATCCATAATCTATAATGTTACTAACTTCAGGAAATTGCAAAATGTGCTCAGGACTCCTGAGGAATATTAACTGTTTCTGTTGATTAGGGCCATGGCTCATTTTTGGATCCACCAGTTGACCAAATTTTCATAAAAGTAACTCAAAACCACTGGGTCAAATGCCATTTGGGGAATTAGAATTTACTGATAGTCTAAATTGGGGCTATAGACACTGTCTACATATAAGGAGCTGAGCAAGGCCTTGAACTAATAGTGGCTTAACCTTTTGAAATAAAGCATCAGTTTCCAAACCATTTTCTTTGTGACAGTGAGAGGCTATTAGCCCACTGTTTCAGCCATATGATTTTATTACACAAAGATGAGTTATTTTTAATTAATATAAAGACAAAAGAAAAACTGGAAGGATTCTTGGGTAGTATAATAACCACCAAGGAGCAAAAGAGAATCCTTTCGAAGTTTCTAAAAATAAATGTGCATAATTAGCATCTGGACTAAGTTCACATAGCTGAGCTATGTTTTCCAGAAAGTGATATTTTTCATCACTGTATGGAATCTTCATCCCAAGACTTGGCATGGATTGCCACGGGGTTGAGTCAGATGGGGAGTCTAAATTACTGAAACTTTAAGCCAAAGGAGCTGAGGTCAGGATAGTTTCAGCTGTGTTGGTGACCCTCTTGGGGGCTGGACAAACCCTCAGTCCTCAGAGAGGGGAGTGGTCCAGGATGAGGGAGAAGGCAACAAGAGGAAAACCAAGTGCCTTAATTTCAATGAAAATAACAATCTATCAATTCATCAGAAGAACTGGATTCTCTTTGATTTTAATCAGGCCACATGTATAGACTTCACCTTCAGAGCAACTGACTATGCTGATTTATGAACCCAAGAAAGAAAGAAATTGATGAAATATATAAATGGGCTACTTCAAAATGCATTTTTATTTTCTATGGTTAGAGAGTTTGGAAGACACTACTTCATTATGGTAAAGTTGTATTTTATTATCATGGAGTTCCCCTCCATTCCCTTAAAGCAAAAATAATTGGTGTGTTTCTCTTGAATTATCTAAAAGTAACACTAAACAAAAGAAAAGAAAACAATGAAGCAGCAATGAAAGATTTGTCTGCAGTGCTAAGTAAGGATTTGTAACATTAGAAATGGGTCATTTCTCAGTCTGATGTACAGGATTATGTAGATAGCTTGCTTCTCAGACATGAAGTGAGATCTAGACTGATAATGTCATTGTCCAGGTGATCATAGCAGAAACCTCTTCTCAGCATGGACTTTCACATAGAGGGAAATGTCCTTGAGTGACAATATTTCTCTCTGTTCAACTGTTAAAAAAGGAAGGAAGAGAAATAGAAAAAGCCAACTCCTGTCCCACGTTTAAAATGTCTGTTAACAAAATCAAGATAAGATAAAATCAATGGCACTTGATGATTTGCTTTTGCATTTTATAATCATTTCCTTTGCCTCTGTGTTTTTTCACCACTATGGAAAGATCAAACTGCTCCAACAGGATCAAAGGATACTTTAAATAATAAACATCTTATTTTTATTCTTTCAGCAAAATTGTGCATAACACACACATCTTCAGTTTTATAATTTGAGCTTTTGCAATTAACCCTGATAGTTCAACTCTTAGCTATAAAGAGAGGGTTGTCATTTGTGTTTTCAACTAAAAGAGATAGCTGCTATCGTTAATATTACAAATTAGTTTCACATTATGTCTTTGTCCAAATGCAGCAAAATAGTGTTCATTAAAATAAACTTTCATTTGCCATATCCTGTGACGAAATATTTGTCCTTGTTAATTTTTTTTTTCAACTTGGGAGAATATATATAGGAATTGTCAGAGCATTCCAGAAAGGTTTCTGCCTAGTAGGAAAACTCCGTATGTCCATTATTCTTATATGGAAAAGATCCTAGGTATAGAGTGTATTATATATGGGGTCAGTTCTTTTAGTTCACTTTTTCATTTCACATCCTTATTAGAGCCTTTAATTCTGCTTCAGAGATTATGTTACCAATCCTCTACCCATTCCCCTTAAAAGTTAAGGCTAGCCATGGTTAGCTATAGTGAGGTGATTTTTTTCCTTTTGCAAACATTTGAATTAAACTTTTAAGAGTTTTCCATTTTAGTAAGAGAACACAAATACTGACCACACGAGATGCCCTTTTAACTATGAGAGACATTTTGCATAAAAATCAAAATTCTAATATAATAACCTGAATTTAACAGGCAGCTGAACACACCTTCTTAGTTTTGAGGCTTTATCATAGTTGACTTCCATGTGCCCTGAATTATACACACATGTCTTAGAACAGTGCCCAGCTAGCATCTAGCCAGATCACAGACAGAAAACACTGCCTCACGGTGCTGAATATGTCTGAGATGTAAGAAATCAGCCTGTTGTTCCAAAAGAAAACCATAATTCTCATCCTGTGCAATACCCGTATGAGCAAGGCTTGTTCAAGGTGCACCCTGTACCTTGGTAAACATGGGCTTTCCATGCTGGGTGACCATTGCGCACTGGTCGCAGTCCACTGTGATGGATGAGTTGTGGTATGACTCTTTCGAGTGTTTCAGAATGTAATACAGGTCGGTCACCCCTCCTTCAAACACAGTGCTGAAGTAACGGGGGATGAGGGTCCTGCCGATAGCTGGGAGAGAAACAGAGAAACAAACCATTAACAAAAATACCTGACTGGGACTGGACCCACACATCCCAGACCACCACCAAACCTCCAGCTAGACACAAATAAATCATCCCAAGAAACCACACAAGAAAACAAATATCTCTTTATAAGCATCCATGGTCCTTTTGGGTTACAGTTAATAAAATAAAACCCCCAACTATTCAGGAAAAGTGTGTATAGTCGTCTTCTTTCCAGATTTTGTGTCCATTGGAAGTCTATACTTTAAAAGAAATGGAGACTGATGCATTAAGTATTTTGGATAACACAAGTACCCTCTTAAGTAAACATATTTTAAATAAAACACATTCAGCTGACTTGGACTTTTCAATGGCATGTTTACAAACCAGTTACCCAATCATATTTTTTTAATTATTATTATTGGTGGTAATAATAACATGCTTTTTAATAATTTAATGATTTGAATTGTGTGAAGTATTTTCACTTTCTCTTGCTGGATCTTCAGAACAACACCAAGAAAAAGGCAACTGACTGAGACCCAAAAAGGTTGGTATGGGAAAAAAGATTATTATGAATTCTTCGAAATTGTTTGACTTATCGGTAAAATATTTGAGTCTCTAATTGCAAATCCGCAGAAACTGAAACACTTGATCTTTCCAATATTATGTTTCAAACTACTTTAATGAGTGGAGATCTTTAAAAAGTGAGCATATATCTTCATATACAAAGATCCAAACCTATGTGAATTCTGATTATTTTATCTGGTTCTAGAGGTGGCTAAGGTATTTTTCTAGAATAAAAGGCCTATTTTTAAGAGAAATTGACACCTCCCACCCAGTCCAAATTGGTCTTTTTCATTCCATTTTTCCTATCCTGCCCCATTTTAGTTTGAGCTATTGGTAAGTAGCTGGGTCTCTCTGATATATGACTCTTTGGCACAGCTAACAAGCCCTTGCTTTAGTAGAAATTTTAAATCCTCTTACAATGAAAATCCCAACTCATAATATCAGGAATTTTGCCTATGTGCAGATTTTGAGGCAAAGTACTAAAGCACTCTCAAACGATTCAAGGTTTTAAATAAATCTCTTACATTTATTATATAATGCCTCCTGAAAGACAAAAATAATATTTAAGACAAATAAATTATCAAAGAAAGTTCTAATAGAAAAGATCATACGTTCTTCACTTGAATTTTTTTTAAATATTTCATTTCATTTTAAAAGAATCAGTGTTAATCCATTCCATATGGATTTATAGCTCTTTTGTACATGGATTTGTAAAAAAATAAATATGAAAAGAATATCCTGCCAAACTGTTTCTTGAAGTGGTCTCTAAAGAACCTTGATGTGGATGACTAGTCTCTGAATAATTTAAATAGTTATTATTGTTTCACATTCACTATGGTAAAATAATCAACAAATGTTGATTGATGCTAAATATTCCAGGGTCTTTTGCAATTCTATCCTAAATAATCCATATACACACATTTCTGAAATACTTCCTAATGCCTAATAGTGCATGTTCACTTGTTAAATATAAAATTTAAATAAGAGCAACCTGAGTTCTTCATATTCTTACATATACTTGGCTGATGTTATAAATAAAACCTACTAATGCAAAAAAAAAAAAAAACCTTTTTGTACGTTGCTAAACAGATAAAATTAACTTAAAGCATTTCAAATATTCTAACTTAAAGCTAATTACCATAAATCAGCTCTAGTAATATGACATTTTATGATCGGTACTGTAGAGAATAATTGCAAACTATAAAAATGTAAATGTAGAGTGAAAATATTTCACCACAATATCCAAAGAATTGTCATATTAAAAAGGTTACTGCAATCAGTAATCACCCTAAATGTAAATAAACCAAACCCAACAATCAAGAGGCATAGAAGTGCTGGATAGATTAAAACAAATAAACTCTAACTTCAGGAGGCTTAGTACAGTTCTAAGGACAAATACAGACTCAAAGTGATGAGGATGAGTATATTCCAAGATAATAATAACCAAAAGAAAGTTGCAACAGTCACACTTGTATTATATAAAATGGACTTCCAGCCAATAAGGGTCATAAGAGAAAAAAGTGAATATTATATAAAGATATAAGGCAGTAAACACAATGGACTTTCAGCCAATAAGGGTCATAAGAGAAAAAAGTGGACATTATATAAAGATAAGGCAGTAAACACATTTAATAATAAATATTAAAATATATATGCACCAACATAGGAGCACCAAAATATATAAAGCAAATTTTAATAGAACTAATAGAAGACAGTTACAACAAGACCATAAAAGTAGGAGACTCTACCACTCTAACTACACCAATGGGTAGATTATTCAGATAGAAAATCAGCAAGAAAATAATGGTCTTAAATGTCACATTAGACCAGATGGACTTAATGAGATATATAGAATATTCTATCCCAAAGCAGAAAAAAAAAGCATTCTTCTCAAGAGCACATGAAACATTCTCAAGGGTAGACCATGTGATAATAAACAGTACAAGTCTCAACAAATTTATGAAGATTGAAATCATATCAAGAATCTTTTCCAATCACAAATGGCATGAAGCTAGAAATCAATCACAAGAAGAAAGTAAGAAAAATCACAAATATGTGGAGATTAAATAATATGCTACTGATCAATTATTGGGTCAGCAGAGAAATCAAATGACAAATAAAAAATATCTAGAGACAAATGAAAATGAAAATACAAAATACTATAATCTATAGATGCAATAAAAATGGAACTAAGAGGAAAATTTAGATAAGAAATACCTCAAGGAAGAAGAAAAATCTTAAACACCTAAAGGCCCTAGAAAAAGAAGAACAACCAAAACTCAATGTCATCAGAAGGAAAGAATAATAAAAATTATAGCAGAAATAAATGATGCAGACACCCAAAATACAATATAAAATATCAGTGAAGCCAAGAGCTCATTCTTTGAAAAGATAAACAAAATTGACAAGCCTGCAGCGAGACTAAGAAAAAAGAAGACTCAAATAAATAAACCTAGAAATGAAGAAGGAGAAATCACAACAGACACCACAGAAATGCAAAGGATCATGGGAAGGGGGACTATAGCAAACAAGAGAGCACAGGAAGATTTGCTGGGCAGTCAGATGAGTGGAATACAGCTTATATTATTTATTTATGTATTTATGAAAAAGAAAAGAAAATCACAGACTAAATTATTCAAGAGCCTGAAGTAGTTATAAAAAATGTCTAAATAGTATTCTCCTTGTAGATAAGCATGATTATTCCAGGAGGAGCTAAAAATGTATTCATAACTAATATGGACTTGAGTCTCTGAATTCCAGTTTTAGGGAATTTTATCTTGTGTTGCCAACCACTGACCCCGGCTCCTCAGAATTTCTTGTCATGGGAGTTGTTCACTGATGCTGTTGAAGAGGCAGGATCCAAATTTTATCTTTTCTTGTAGGTGTCACTTGCAGATATTAGGATATCAATAGGATATAGGTAGATATTAGTTGACTCCCTCCCACCCATTCATACACATACTTAGAAACCAAATGGTACGAGAGGGAACTCTCAATCATTTGAGAAGATATAAACTAGTAGGCACCTGCCTTTTTGAGCATATCATCTCTATTCATAATGAAATGCTTTTCTTAAATTCTTAAGAATATTTATAAGGCAATTCATGTTAAAGAAAACAATTGTGAGAAAATGTTCAACTAGTAATCAAAATGCAAATTAAAATAATAATTAAAAGGTTAAAACATAAACCTGGTGAGGTTGTGGTGAAATACTATTCATACTCCAATACTGCTGGGTAAATCAATGCACCAATTGCTCCTCATCTTCAGAAACTCTAAATCACTGAGAGTTTACCAGGTGTGACACTCACTTCTTGGTGAATACTCTTGCCAAACTGCAATTCCAATACTTGGATCTGAAGAGCTCTGATGTTTTTTAAGTTCTTTAAGAAACCATTGTCTATGGAAGATCTTTTGATTTGGGGCCATCACTTAGTATTCTAAATGCCTGTAATTTCTACCTTTCAAGTAAAATTCACTTCAAAATAGACATTGAGAACCCTGTTTAAAATGTGGAATAAGAGGAAGTTTTGATAACTAACAATGCACTAGTACCAGTTAACTTGGAAATTAGTTAGCTAATTAGTCTCTCCTCCTTGGAAAGAGAAAGCCATATAACCATACAAATTATCAGGCAAAGTTAATTATGATAAAATATTTGATTACTTTGATTCTAAAAACATTTGTAAATGTGATAATAGGTAAATTGGTTGTTTCAATATAATTGCTCTAAAGCAGCAGTACCTCAGAAATCCAAATGGAAATTCCAGTATTGAGGTACCAAATAAGTGCAAAGATCCATTAAACTTTAGACTTATCTCTATTCCGAAATCAATGAACATACTATGCTAACATGTAAATACAGAGGCTCCTCGTAGTGAAACGAACAAAACTGATGATTTCATTTATGAAAAGTAGCCATTATAAATAGCCAAAACAAAGGATAAGAAACATGATCAAAATTTGGTGGGGGTGACATGTGTTTAAGGCAGATTCTTTTAACCTGGTAAAAGAAGGGCAAGTCAAACTAACTCAACTTGCATAAATTGATGTCACTTTTATTCTACTGGACATTTTTCTTTTTTTTCTCAACCAATAGCCACTTCACTTAAATATCTCCTCTCAGTATTTCAAAGATTCCTTTACTTAATACATACTTACTAGAACCTTCGACCTGCCACACATGGTTGTAGGTGCTGGAAAGAAATAGCAGACAGGTGGGGAGATAGAATATACTAGGTGGCGAGCAAAGGCAGGCTAGTTTAGCTGCATCAGCTTGAAAGGCTGAGTGAGTAGATGATGTTGGAACTGAGTCTAGGTGAATGAGAGGAATGGGTTGGACTTAATGAGTTTGTGTCTCAGTATCAGAAAAAAGGACCACAATCCAGGAGAGCAAGATGAGATGAACTTTGAGAAAGAAGCAGGCCAGATTATGTGGAG